CTCATTTGTCCATATACTCCTAAGAAAAATAGAGTTGCTGAAAAGAAAAATATGAGTCTAATAGGGATGGTACGTTATATGTTTAAAGGTATGGGGATACCAAAATCTTATTGATGGTGGCCCCTAAGAAAAAAATTTTGGCTCTATTTTGTAGCTCAATGCGTAGGACATATAAAAACTGCTACTTTGGTAATTCGGGTTTGATTGAAACTGTATAGCCGCCCTCTATATTTCTTCTTCTCTATAGTGAAATCCCTGCAGCTTCGTGGATGTAGGCAAATTGTCGAACCACGTAAAATCTGTGTGTCTTCTTTCTTTCTTGTTTCTCATTGTTTTATGTTCTTGGTTTGTTCTTCGATTGTGTGTGGATTTAAAGCGTATTAAATCTCAACAGTATCAATAAATCATCAGAAATTTGATGTATGGTAGGAATAATATAAGACTTGATATTGCTTGTGCTATATGAATATTGAGTAGATTAACTAATAATCCTAGTTCTAAACATTGGAAAGAATTAAGTAGAATTTTGAGATATTTGAAATATACTATGAATTATGGATTACATTATCATTGCACAAGTTCTGCTCTAGAATGTTATAGTGATCCTAATTGGACATCCGATTGAACAAACTCTAAATCAATTAGTGGTTGGTTATTCACTTCAGGTGGTGCTATTGTTGCATGGTCCTCTAAGAAACAATCATGCATTGCATTGTCATCCATGAAATCTGAATACATTGCTATGTCATTAGCCAATAAAGAATTTATATGGATAAAGAGGTTTATGAAATGCATTCATTTTATTGATATTACTGAAGGACCTGTTAATTTGTATTGTAATAATCAAGCAACGATTTACAATACTAAGCATAAGAGAATATCAAATAACAGCAACCATATTGCTATGAGATACAATCATACACGGAAGATTGTGAAAAAAGGTGAAGTCACACTTGAGTACTTGCCTATTGATAAAATGAAAGCGAATCTATTAACAAAACCACTAAGTGGTGAGAAGATCAGTAAAACCATGAAAGGTATGGGATTATTACCGATTCAATAGAAATAATTTTAACTGTAGCCCACTCTAACAAGTTGATACCGACACGTTGGAAATCTCTTCATTAGAGCTCAAAGGAAATTTAGTCAGGTATTTTAAAAGAAATGTTAACTTGAGATTACATTTCTGGTGCATTGTTTATTTTAGGAATAGTGAGATAAGTCTATTCCAACTACAATCTCATATTTGGTTAATGCACTATTTTGTTTACAACAAAAAGGTTGGATTTTGTCCTTAACAAAACTCATAGATTGTTTGGGGTGATAAAGCAGTTGTGTAACACCCTTGATGAGCCTGTCTTTGTGATTATGAAGGTAAGGGCCACTTCCTACGGGTTTTTGTTAAAACCCTAATGTACTTGCTAAGTGGGATCAACGCATGGCCTAATAACGTGTTGTCTTAAGAGGATCATTAAACTCTGTGTATAGTGTGAATATGTTTCTTAGACATTGAACGTTACAAGATCAATACATAGTTCTCTTGTTCTTTTAAAGTTTATAGGTTCATGTTCAACTCTAGATTCAAGGGATCGTCCACCTAGGACATACATTATTTTGTACCCGAATTTTTCCATTATTACTATCATATTTAGTAAATAAGAGGGGTATGGTTTTATATATATTATACATAAAGTACAATAGTACTTCTAAATTGAGATTAGTGGAAAAGTGTGAAATTTTTCACTTCCCTCCAAAGCATTTGGAATATATGAGTTGGAGGGTAAAGACATGAATCCCACATTAGTTCTTGGAGGTTCTTCATGCATTCATCTTCATCTATAAATAAAGGAAGAACTTCATTCTCTACTCAAGGTCTCAAGGAATCCTCTTAAAAAGGAGGCCTATATAATGAGAACTTCAAGTTATAATTTTGTATATGTATAGAAAAAGAAGAAGAAATAAAAGAAGGGAGGCAACGTTCAAACGCTAAAACAATGCTTCGAACGTGCTTTGCTCCAAATACTTTTTCAGAATCTCAGTTTCTGACATAAACTAAGATATTGTGACTTTGGTTCGATTGAACACAACTCACATTCGAACGTGACTTGCTCCCAGTACTTTGACAAAAATATCATAATTGAGTCGAACGTGACAATCTCGTTTGAACGTGACAGGTATTATATTTAAAATTAGTCTCTAACAATTATATTATTGTAGCCCTTTCAAGGGGTGTCTTTTGCCATGGATTTGAAAGGTTACACTCTTTCATTAAGAGATGCATAAAACACTATAAATAGGGTTCAAGTGCAAGAATAAAGTATCAACAATTTAATCCTTCTTTTCTCCTTCTTGATTCAAAGCTTTTATATTTTCTAATTTTTTATTTGGGTTGAGTTTTGATTCCAAGATTAATAAGGAGTGCAGTTTTTGATAATCTTAAAATTAAGCATTGTATCTTGGGGGTGGAATTTCCAAGAGTTCATCTACATTATAAGTGTGGAAATTACTATCTCGAAGATAGCGAATGTCGCGCTTTACCTAGCGATCTATCATCATATGTTTGTGATTCTTTGTTTTTCTACTACTTGAAATTATTTTACCACAATGTATTCTACAACACCAACTACCTACACAGATTGATCATATTTTCCTTCTCATATCCTCTTGCATAAATTTATCTCCAATCATCGATGACATATAATACAAGGGAAAGTATATGGTATCGAGAGTTAATATTATTAATGATAAAGTTACAAATTTGAAAGGAAAAGTTACAACAGTTCAAAAAAAATTCATGATCAATTTCGATCATGGGTATCCCTTTAAGCACTTATAACTTCTACCTTATAAGTTATAACTTGATTTTTAAAAATTATAACTTAATTTTTAAAAATTTAAAATTTTATGATCGATTGTAATATTTTAAAATCAATTATGTCATTTTACTTAAAGCAAATGGAGATTCTCGAACGGCAAAAAAGGGCACTCGACATCTATTAAATAACACAAAGAACAAAGTCTACCATACCCTCGGAAGAAAATAATGACGATTGCCATGAATGCTGTATAATTTTTTAAAACCGTATCGCCGTTGGTACAAAAATCTTTCCTTAGAATACAAGGGCTTCCTGCAGTCCAAATGGAACTCTTATGATGAAGAATCTTCTGATTAGTTTTATGATTGGCTAACAAAAGCACGGATAAGACTGATTCCAAAAAATTTAAGCTTACAAAGACCTTCAATCAAGGAATTTTTCTAAAAACAAAAGGTGAGACAAAAAAGAGACTTAAGACTAGTTCCGATAGGTTTTATTGGTGAGATCATAAAATTTGTGATCACGTATGTTATATCTCTTGGAAACGAATTTAGTTAAACTATTATAGCGATCAACCACCAAACTTCAATATAAACTTAAGACTCGAACCTCTAACCTCAACCTGAAAAGTTCGGTCAATACCCCACTGGAACACCTCACTTGATCATCTATTTAGGAATTGACTATAGTAAGAAACAAAAATTTTTGGTACCCTATCACTAAATTTTATTAGTTTCGTGAGTTGAAATACATGTTTTTAAGTTTGTTTACGATAAAAAAAAAAAAAAAAATTACCACTTTTGAGGTCATGTTATAATTTTTACGGTTCAAATTATAATTTTTATGGGTCATTTGAGATTGATCCTAAATGATCATAGGTAATTTCAAAAATTATAAATGACCCATAAAAATTATAAATTCTAAAAATTAGTAAATTATCCTTAAAAGTTATAAATAACCCTTAAAAATTATAAACATAAATCACAAAACTTGTAATTACAATATAATACCGGGAAAAAATTTTGCGGTCACCGTAGACTTCTCCGATCATCTACAGTCCATTTAAGATATTTTCTCTTTCTTTTTATCAGATATAAATTTCTAATCCAACTCTATGTAGAAGCATCCAAATCACTCTTTACAAAACTCCGGTCCAATATATGTTAACCTCTTATGAGCCATCAAATTCTCTTTTCCAAGAGCCGTCTACACAGAAGATTTGATGCCGGCAAAACCTAGCGGTCTGCGGCATATCTTTTGGGGGCACTTGCGTATCATTAGATGTATGTTTATTCGTAGGATATTAAGACATTTTTAATTCTTTTTATTTAATTTGAATAATGTGGTTTTATTGTAATTATAAGATTGATACAAAGTTCTAATATTTTATAGGATCATAGTCAATTCAAGGATTATAATGAATTAAGTGTAATCCAAAGAGTAGTTCAAGTGGTAATAAGAATAAACCGTAAACTCCGACGTTTTGACTTCGAATCTTAGTAACACTTCAGAGTCAGATCATGAAAAATTTTTCTTTCATAAATATTCTAATTTCGACATGGATGTCCTGTCTTTGACATGATCAGAGAAAGAATTAGTCAAAGTCCACAAAAATTGGCACAACTACCTTGACTGCTGAACCAAAAAAAAAATTAAATTAATATATTAAGTCCCCAAAAGCATTTCCTACGCATGTAACATCAAAGGTTTTGCGATCAAAGCGATATCATTTTGTATAAAAATAACGTATGTTCGTTTTGAAGAACAGCATCTCTGCAGTTAATTTTTTATGACACAAGATCCACAGCCCAACAGACTGTAATTCGACGGTGTATAGGCATGCAAGGTATAATTATTCAGGAGCATAAAACAAGGTGTTTTTCACCTAGTACGTCTTGTAAGAGTCTCCTTGCTCCGTCTTCTTGTCAATGCCTTCGGATTCTTCTCATAGACCAATGGAATCAAACCCAATAGTAAGACAAAACATTGATCAAAATCTACATGGAAATATTCAGTCTTATCCATTGTGTTGGCTGCTTACTCATTTCTATAAGAACATCTGAATCTGCAACCCAAATCCCCTTACCTGGTCTCTTCTCAAAAAGTTTGGAGATTCTCTCTCTCTTGGAATATACATAGCAACTTTGCCCCGAAATCTTGTTGCAAGTTGTACAAGTCAAGGAAATGGAGGAACTAATGTCATCGGAAGGATGGTTTGCTGATGGAAATAAAGAGGGTTATGATGTTGTGGTGGTGGGTTCTGGCTATGGAGGTTCTGTGGCGGCGTGTCGGTCGTCGATGGCGGGGCTTAAGGTGTGTGTGATTGAGAAAGGCCGGAGATGGGAAGCTCAGGATTTTCCGACCAACAGTTTGAAGATATTGTCGTGTGTGAGAATCGAAAACCCAACCTTGGGGTACACCGTAGGACCCAAAGATGCATTGTTTCAGGTCATTTCTCTCTTCTTTTCTTGCATATATATGCTTTTCTTTTGAACTCATCATAATTCAAAATATCAAATGATATTGATACGACTTGAACCGTCGATGGTCTGTAACCTGGAACTATGATCAGAGTGGTACCTATTGCATTAAACTGACTTGAACCACCCTGACTTGTACCACCCTTCTGTTGCCAGAATGGACATGTTATTTTGATAAATAAAACATAGATGAGAACGTCATACGCTAAGATTACTGGAATTGCATGATGAATTAACAGCTATATCGATACGACGATTCTCTAGCAACAGTGGCCTGTGGGCTGGGTGGAGGTTCACTAGTGAATGCAGGAGTGATGCTACCAACCCCGGTTCGGGCAAGAAGGAACCCCAAATGGCCAAAGGAGTGGGAGAGAGATTGGGAGGTCTGCGAGGCATCAGCTTCAGCTATGATGAGAATTCAAAGTGTTCCCAGGTTCCCCAATGCCAAAATCATGGAGGACATGACCGAAGAAGATCAGTATGAAGCAACTAGCCAAAGTTCACTTAAGCTGGGTGTGAACTTTGATATAGAAGAAGTACAGCCCCATGATCAGATCAGCAAGTCCAAAGACATTGGAAGCTGCTTAGCCTGTGGAAATTGTCTTGCTGGCTGTCCTTATAATGCAAAACTCTCTACAGACAAAACTTATCTTTTCTCAGCTCTCCAGGTACGTTTCACATCTTCTTGTTCTTGTCTAAGATAAGAAATCATGTATGCTCATGCTTATTTGGTTCATTCGTGAAGATTGTGACAGGTTTCAAACATCTTGTTCAAGCTCATATCATTAATTGAATCCAAGATTGAGCTAGGTTTGACTCAGTCTGTTTAAATGAACTGAACAGGGCTTGTGTGTGTGAGAGAGGTCAGACCTGGTGGCTCATTTATTGATTCGGCTCATTTATTAACAAGTCTTAAATTGAGTTGGAGTTTCGTCCACTTGATAAATAAACGAACTGATCTTTTATCCAACATAATCCTGAACCATTTGTTTCGTTTGCAAACTATTTTTTGCATTCTGGGATCAATCACAACTTTTTTGAACCAATGAGCCATAACTTATGTTTGTTTGAGTCGTAATTGGACCTGATTGAGTCATAAATTTTTCGGAGTCTTCGGTATAAGATTTATTAATTTGGTACCATAAGTTTTTCTAGACTTGTAAGGTACATCATGAAGTAATAAAATGGAGTGTATCAATAACAGTAAGGATTTCCCATGATGCAGGCAGGATGTACTATCAAAACAGAATGTCAAGTTCAATATGTGGTTAGAAACCCAGATGACACTTGCAAAGAAGAAGAGAAAATCTGCAGAAAAAGAAGGCGTCGATGGCTCGTATTTTTCAATGAAACTGACTTTGTAACATCTGATTTTGTTATCCTCTCAGGTACTGTATAGTATAAGCAAATTCAAGGATTTTTTTGTTTCTTCTGAACTTTAGGAAGTTTTTAATCAAGTTACCACTAGTTTGTAATTTCATTCCTTCTGTATCCCGATTCCTAACTTTTATCACAATCTTTCACTACTTACATAAAACTTATCAAAAGCCTTTTTTGCAAATACTCTTTTATAATGAGAAGTGTAGATTCAAACTGCGTTTTTAGTAATAATTGATTCAAGGTTTAGGTGTCAAGGGTTTTGGAGTCTGAACTTAATTTCTTTGATTCCATTTTGCAGCTGGAGTGTTTGGAACATCTAATATACTATTCCGGTCGCAGATGAGGGGATTGAAAATTTCAGAGAGGCTTGGATCAGGGCTGAGCTGCAATGGCAACACTGTTGCTTATCTTGCAGGAAGCTCAGCACCCTTAAATGCTTTTGGCTTAAACAGTAAGCAATTTTCAAAAATACCTTTTCAGGAGCGTCCGGGACCAGCCATTTCTTCATCATACACCTCTTCCTTGGGTTTTACTATTCAGGTTGGGGCTCTCACTTTAGTTTAGGACTTATTTTTTATTTCCTCCCTTGTGGATTTGGCATCCAAATCCTCTCAATTGGTTGGATCTTTCTTGCAGGATAACCAGCCTAGTTGTCCAGGGATTTTTCTTTATGCATCTTTATTTTGAACATGTTTAGTTACTTGGAACTCTTTAGATACCCTAATACAATTAATTATCAGTTTGGCACTTCCAGTGCTGATTAATTCCGTATTGGCGCAGAGTGCAGTACTTCCGACTGCTTATCCATACCTGCTATTCAAAGGGATTGCGTCTTATGGTTGGCCACCGGGCTACTGGCTCTTTCATGGGATCATAGACAATCTTAAACATGCTTTAGGATCAAAGCGCCAAGCAATGGTTCTGAATGCAATGGGATATGATGACAGTGATGGAAAGATAATTTTTGATAAAAATACAAGTAATATTGGCTTCCAGCCACCCCATGACCCTTTACTGCCAAGAAAAATCGACACCTTTCAGAAACTCACAAAGAAATTGGGAGGAATTTTGTTCATGTCAAGGCATCGGAGCACATCAGTTCATCTTTTAGGTGGCTGCAATGCCTCTTCAGATCCTTCACGGGGTGTTTGTAATCCCAACGGGCAAGTTTTTGACACGAAATCTCCTACCACATTTCACCCTGGCCTGTATGTTTGTGACGCCTCGTTGATTCCTTGCTCTATTGGCGTAAATCCGTGTCTGACTATTGCTACAGCTGCGGAGCATGTAAGTAGGCACCTTGTGCAGGATGCTCTCAAGTTCAAAACCAAAGAAGGTACAGAACTTACCAATGCAGCTTTGGATAAAAAACTTGGTTCAATCATCTCCGGGAAGTTCAATAGCAGCCAGAGATCATTGGTTGTGGTTAAAGAAACCATGAGGGGGCATATGGGGGGTATGCCATGCACAGCTTCTCTCATACTGAAATTGAATTGCAGGACATCCAGAGATTCTAATAAAATGAGTATGGTCATTGGAAAATCTCACCCTCTTCTACGAGGAAAAGTCGGTGGCTATGTTGAAATCAAAGGAGTAGAAAAGGATAAATTACATATCATAGAGGGGGAAGTAGATTTGTGTGAAGTTGATATCAGAACTCCTTATACACAATATATGCACTATCATCTTCTCCTTGGAGCTTCTTCTGGTGCAAGGTTCGATATGGTTCAAAGCTTTATTTATTTTGTGCCCCTTTCTTTCTTAGTGTCATTTGGTAATGCTTTTTAAAAATTACTTTAAAAGTATTACCAAATGGTAGCTATGGTAATACAAACAAAACTTGCCTTAAATGTAGATTTGTTCTCGAAGGGACGAAGATAATGAATCCTTTTTTCCTTGCATTATATGGGTGGAAAGAATCAACAACATTGCATGTAACCTTCAACAAAGTTACCAATAACACTCCAAGGGAAGAAATGGTGAACTTAAGAGGGGAGCTTCACATTTCCATGATAGAGCTCCTAAGAACTGTTATGACTCTGAAGGGGAACAACAGAGGAAAGTTTGTAGGTCTGCTATTGCAATCTCTCTTCAGAACCTATATTTTGCAAATACCTCGAGGAAGTCGCAAGTACTTCACCCCATCAGAAGTCTACGAAAGACCTTATCTGAGTAGTACTCTCCACGAGATCAAAACAGGTATCAGAACATAATTTCTCTGCTTGAGAGCTTACTAAAAAGTGACCTGACTTCTGCTTAGGTAGCAGAAACCCCAAGTACAATTCAATAGTGAAAATCAATCGGGAGTCTAGAATATATGTGAATGGAAAACAAGAAATCCTTTTAAATCATGATTAATGGTATCCTGGATGAAAATTATCAAAATCTTCAATTATTTTTCTAGGTGATTTCGCTAAGCTTTCAGGCCTCGAATTTGTGCCCTACATTTTTTGTAAGTTCAAAAGAATTAAATGGAGCAATGAGCATTTCTCTTTCCTTATATCTTCTTGTGTGGCATTGAAGTTCTCAGTTGTGAATGATTCTATCAACTTATGCAGAAGATGGATTTCAACTAAGTTGCAAACAGTGGAAGTGCACTCAGAGACCATGGAGGCTAGAAGGAGAGAGTGAACCACATCCGATCCTCCTTATTAACGGATACTCAACCGAGAGTTATTGGTTGCCAACTGAACCAAATGATCTGGTTAGAACTTTACTAGAAGAAGGGCATGAAATATGGCTACTGCAGCCAAGATTACACCCATCGAATCCTTCTAACCACTTCACAATCGAAGACATAGGCAAATATGATATACCTGCAGGTAAATATGTTTAAAAGCCAAATCAATAACAATTTAAACATTTATGCAGTTTCTTTTGGTGTAAATCCTTATTGACATTTTCTTTTCTGAAGCCATCAATAAAATCTTGGAGTTGCATGGGGCATCGACAAAAGTACATGTGGTTGCACATTGTGTTGGAGGCCTTTCCATTCACATTGCTCTGATGGGAGGACATGTCTCTGCTAGCCAAATAGCTTCTCTAACTTGCACCAACTCTTCAATGTTCTTCAAGCTCACTGCTTCATCGACTGTAAAAATGTGGCTTCCACTTATCCCGGTAATCATTTTCTTTGCCCTTTTTCGCATATGTAGGTAGCTGCAACCCTTCAAATGGAACAATCTCCTGTCAACAATAATCCAACATTTGATAACTAATTCAGAAAACTTATAGATATACATAAGATAAATCAGGTTAGTCTGCTAAATGTAAATTTGGCTTGAAATACAACAAATTCAGTCACTTCAACATCCCCTGCCAAACTGTTCCGAGATTGTACTGTTTAGTAGGCTTAGGCAAACAAGATAGGCCAACAAGACAACAATACAGTTTTGACATCATTTTTTATCCCTCAGGAACACACTTGATTCTTTTTTCTCTATTCTGTGCTATGTTTTAACTTCAATGAACCTGCAGATGTCTATGGCGATATTAGGCGAGAACAAGTCTCTACCTCTCTTCCAAACATTGAAGGCTAGTTCGCAACACCAGCTCCTCAAATTAATAGCCCGTTTCGTGCCACGCTACGAGAGATGTGCCTGCGATGAATGTGAAGTCTTCTCAGGCATATTTGGTAACACATTTTGGCACAATAATATAAGCCCCACAATGCACCACTGGTTGAACAAACAAAGCTTACCAAGGCTTCCCATGGCTGCATTTCCTCACCTCAGAAAAATCTGTAACTCGGGTTTCATCATTGATAGCAATGGCAAGAACTCGTATCTGATCCATCCTGAGAGAATGGCACTGCCAACGCTTTATATATCCGGTGGACGGACTCTCCTTGTGACTCCTCAGACTTCTTTTCTGGCTAACAAGTACATGAAGTTGCACCAGCCTAGTTTTAGACATGAAAGGGTGGTTGTGGAAGGTTTCGGGCACTCGGATTTATTGATTGGAGAAGAGTCTTGTAAGAGAGTTTTTCCTCACATTATATCTCACATTAAACTGGCTGAAAAAGAAAGAAATGGTACAATGAATCCAAGGGAATTAAAGAAGTGCAATAGAGAGGCCTTGGCTTGGAGTGATGATTTATATGAGGAAAGAAATGGAGGATTTGGAAGCTGGATTTCTCTTTTGGTCACCATTTGGTTGGTTTTGTTGCTGATAGCTATGTTAGCTTCTAGATTTTTCTGATTTTAAACCCATTGTTTGGTTGCTGCCTTGCTGGGAAACTGCAAGAAACCAGAAGGAAAACACTTTTCACTTTTGGGTTTCTTCACTTTGTTGAATTAACCAACCTAGCCCGAAGATCTGGGGTTGGGTCTAAGAATTAAGAATTAAGTTAGAAGCAATTTTTTAAAATTGTTTATAACTTTTAATTATAATAGATATCTTTTTATTGTTTAAACTGATTGAAAATAATTAAGAATAATTTAAACGATTAAAATTTATTTTTTTCTTCCGGGTTAGCACTAAACGGGAAAAACAATTAAACCTCTCTCTCTTTCTCTCTTTCTCTCTCTCTCTCTCTTCCCCCAAAAAACTTATTGGGAAAATTATAACCAAACTCTGAGATTTATGCATAAACACTTAGACTCTCATACCCAAACTCCGAGGTTTATGTATAAATATTTAGACTCTTACCGTTTAGTATATTTATTAATAAATTACATTTAAATTTTTTAGAATTTGTAGATATATAACACTTAAATCCCCTAAAATTTATAGGTGTCACATTAAATCTGTCAAGTTCAAAATACTATAATTTGGCAAGTTCAAAATACTATACTTTGACCCTTTATTAGTTATAAAACTAATAAAATTTATTAAATGATCAAATTATCCCAATTAATTAAAGATAAAAGATATTATGTCTATTATAATTTGACCCCTTATTTGATTTTTTAGTTTTATTCCAATAGATAGTATAATTGTATGTAAATGAGTATTGAATTGAGTTCTTTATTATAATTATAATGAATTAATAGAATATGAATTTTAGTTGTAAAATTTAAAATCTATATAATAAAGTACAATACAATTCAATCTTAAAAGATAAATAAAATGACTTTTACTATTCGCAGGTGAAATTTTTTTCAATTTTACTTTAAAGTTAATCTAATGACTAATATTAACACTCCAAAATTAATAGGCAAAATAGACTCATAAATGAGTGTTTGAAGTGACTTTTTAAAAGTACTTAATACTTATAAATATATATATTTTTAAAAATAATATTTGAAACCACCCCACCACCACCATCACCCTCTATCACCCCACCACCATCACCACTACCACCCCCACCACCCATTATCATTACCACCACCACCGCCACCCTATCCCACCACCAAACTACACCCCACACCATCATCACCATTACCACTACCACCACCAATGTCACCACCACCCCACCCACTGTTTCACCACTACTATCACAACTACCACCACCCCCCACCCTTTACCACCATCATCATTGTCATCACCATACCAGCCCTACCCATCACCATCGTTGTCACCCCACCCACCACCACTACCCGATCACCCCCATCCCCATTACTGTCACCTCCAGCCCACCACCGCCACTGTCCTACCGCTGTCATCGCCACTCCATCACTACCTTTGCCACAAACAACCGCCCCTTACTATTACTACCGTCGCCACCCTACCACCACCACCAACCCCTACTACCCTCCCATCCCCACTACCCCCCACCACCACCATCATCGCTGTCACCTCCACCCCACCACTACCCTACCTCCACCACCACTGTCCAATCATCACCCCTACCATTACTACCCCTATCGCCTCACCACCACTATCATCGCTCACTTTCACTATAATCGGTGTTTAAATTCTTTTTTCTCTCCTTTATATTTGTTATTTAATTTTAGATGTGAATACAAATATATTTATTATTGACTATTTTTTTTATTACTCTGTATTTTCAGACACGAATAATAACTAGTATATCTTTAATTGAAATATTTTTAGTTTAAATATATTATTTTAAATTTGAGGGTCTAAGTATTATCTGTTTAAAATTTTATGGATCTAGATGCAATTTATTATACTTAACAAAAATTACAGAAATGTTATTTGTTATCTGCATACAAAATTTAGTGAGTTTGTGTATAATATGTTAACGTCAAGAAATTTAGGTGATTAAACGATAAACTTTAGGAAATGTGAATATGGGCATGTTTGGTTTGCGTTTCAAAACATAATATCCGAAAATAGTTTTTGAGAAGAGTTTTAAAAAAGTGTGTTTTGATATTTTTTGAGATAAAAAACTTGTTTAGTTGGATGATTTCAAAAATAATTTTATAATATAGAAAATAGTAAAATCTGTTTTGACAGCTTAAATATATGTTTGAACAGTAATTCAAAAATTAATAAAAAAAAATTTAATTGACAATTTCATAAAAAAAAAAATCAATAAACCAAACATATTCAATAGAAAAAAATATATAAACACCAATAATTTTTTCTAAAAAAAAAAAAACAAATAACACAAAAAAAACACTCACACCCTCACACAATATATATATATATATATATATACACACACACAAACAAAGTACAGATACATATACCCATCATACACACAATATATATATACTAGCAATATTCCGTGACTGAAGTCACTGAATATTAAACTATGACACTATGGGTGTATTGGAGTGTGTGTGTATAGTTGGAGTGTATATATAATGTGTGTGTAGTGAGTACGTATTGAAGTATGTGTTGTAGAGTATTTGTATTGAGTTTGTGAAATTTAAGAGGAAAAATATGTGATGGGTGTGTGAAATTTGGGGGGGAAAATATATCCTCATAAGTTTAAACACCTAACTATTTTATTATATAGATATCTAACACAATATCTAGATCGGTGCTGCAGTGCTACACCAGAGAGAGAGAAAGAGGAGATGGAGGATGTCGGAGAGAGAGGAAGACAAAAAAAAAATGGAAACAAAGATTTTTGCTGCTAAGGGGACTCGAAAGACTTTTGCTACTTGTTTTTTATTTATTTGTCTTAAATTTTATTTTATTTTTAAAATTTTGAGGACAAAAATACTAAATAAAGATGTTTTTGACTATTTTTAAAATTTTGACAACAAAAAATAATTTTTGAGACGGTAACCAACCCCGCTCACTTTTCCAAACTTTTTTGATGCTCTGTAGATCCCCATCGGCAGCAACGTTCCATATTCTTCTCCTCGCTGCTTTCAGACAAAAACCTTCTTTTTTCTCTCTCTATAAATATTTATCTAGCGTACTGAGTACCTATATTTCCACATTCCTCTCTCTCTCTCTCTCTCGCTTCGGTGGGTGTGTGTGTAAAGATCAGTTGAGGTGCAGAGGATAAAGAAAAATGGGTTCTCTATCTCTCTACCCTCATCTTCTATCAACAAACAATTCGAAGTTCAATTCCTCCAAAACCCTATTTTTCTTTAGCTGCTCCAGTCATGGAAAACCTGAACGCGTCGCTTTGTTCAAGAACACTTCGCGAATGACTCGAATTTTCTGTTCATCTTCCTCAAAGGACGGTTCTAATCCCATCCCTGCGGGCGATGACGTTCCAAGGTTAGGGATTCTTTTGCTTCACTTCATTTCTGTGTTTCAGATTGTTGAAAATAAAATAGAATTTTGAATCTAAGTGTTCTGTATTGCTCCGTTGGTCATACGAATTGAAATTTGTCTCAAGTAAGCTAGGAATAATGTATATTGAGTGCGACTTTTTGCTATTTGTCGTCACGTAGCGAAACTATGAACGCATTTTCTCTCTCTTTTTTGCCCTTTCCTGTGTAATCAGTCATATGACTGAATTTCTGGGTTGATAAATTGAAATTGATTTTGTTGTAAATTTTGTTGGTTGTTTAGTTTTTGATGTAATTGACTTAACAAGCATTTACCTTCTGACAGAAAGAATTCGCAACCATTTGATTGCTTTTTAGCTTGAATATTTTTGGGTAAATTGTGCTTAGTTGATGAAAGATTATCCAGTGATTTTCTCCTAATGAGTAACCTTAATGTTTAATGAATAAATGAAAATACTGTTTCAACGATATGATAGGTTCATGAGTAACATAGCCATATCTACCGCTATTATGTCGGGCATTGGACCTACTTTCCTTAGTGAATTTTCTTTTGGTGATTTAAGTATTCATGATCACATATTTTTGGTACATTTTGTGAATGACTTATTGATTTGGTGGTCTCACGCCATCTGTCTCCCCATGTTGGCATATGGTTTTAAGCAAGCATTTGCTTATGGAGTGTGCTCACTGTTGGTACCAATGTCTGGTAGGGAAAGAAGTATTGTTATTTAGCCCAAAATCAGTAATTTATTATCTTGCTCCTTGGCTTTCCAGCAGCAATTTCTGCATTATAGAAGGACCAGAGACTGTTCAGGATTTTGTTCAGATGCAGCTCCAGGAAATCCAGGACAATATAAAGAGTAGGCGCAATAAGATTTTTCTCCTTATGGAAGAGGTGAGTACGAGACTCTGTTTTGATTTTTGCAAAACCCATATCATCAAACAATTTTTGCATTCTACTTTTGGGGCAAATTGAATAATTTGTTAGTTTTCCATATCGATTGTGTTAGGTACGGAGGCTACGAATTCAACAACGCATAAAGAGTGTCAAAGTCATTGATCAGAATGGGGAAGAGGAAAATGAGATGCCTGACATCCCCTCATCCATCCCCTTTCTCCCTCACGTGGTAACTCTTTGAACCCTTGACCAACCACACAAAAGTACATGGCACGTATGCTGGGTATAAAACTCTTCATGTTTACAATAGCATGCAAGGTTATACATACAACAGAAACAGACAAAACCAAAAAGTAGTAAGTGATTAGGATTTTATTCATTGTGAGTTGTAAATGATTTACATATCTGACCTCCTGCATTAGGGAATAATTGTCAATTTGCATTAATTTTTCACTGACCTTGTGCATTTCTCTTTGAGGTAGACCCCGAAGACATTGAAGCAGCTTTACCTGACAAGCTTTTCATTCATATCTGGAATAATTGTCTTTGGGGGTCTCCTGGCACCAACTGTAAGTTTACAATTCTGAGAAGTGAAATGTATCCTTTCCGAGTGCCAAAATTTTAAATTTTCTAGTCACGAGATTTACTTATTTTTCCCTTTTTCTTTGGGTGAACTGTTTCTCATTGTTCATTAATTCGTTCAGAGCCATCCTTTGCATGGGTCGGGGAGGAGAGGATAACTAGTGTTTTATACATATGCTGCCATTGGTTATTGTGGGGTCATCAGAGAGCTGGAGATGCTTCTTGTGTGAGGCTAGAGTAAGGAGAGAAGATGTCAGATATAGATGATAGGTAACAGTTAGGGTTTACAGTGATGTTGGTGGGTTTGCTTTGTGGTTGACATGCATTTGAGTTAGTAGTAACTTGTAAATGATCTCAAATAAGGTGAACATAGGTCATTCATTATATGATGAAGTTCCCTGAAAGGGTCGAGAGGACTTGCTGTTATTCAAGAGGCAGATAGCTAGTTTTGTCACATATATTTGCAATTATTAGGAGCAATGATTTGCTCTGATCAGTAAACCAAAGATTGTTGTTCTTTTATCGCAAACAAGATTTTCAAATAAAACGAAGAAGGGTACAGGTTCGATGAAACATAGGAATGTATTCCCTTGCACAAAAAGTTAAGAATATTGATTTGATGAGTTAAGCTTTGGAGTACTGTAAATCAGGCCTCAATATACTACCACATGGAAGCTCTAATCAGTGTTAATATAGTTTATATTTCATCTAAACTAAGTTTAGATCTTAAACATAATCTGAGATTGAAGTGTAACTTATGGTTTATTTAAGATGAAGATGTAGCTTACCAGCATCCGGCAAGAGAAAAAGGGTAGCCATTGTTATTTAGTCTAGACTGGACTTGTTGTATCTGTTTCCTTTCTATAAGTTAAAAATATTTTCTTGTGCGACAAGGACAGATAAAGGCTGGACTTGCACGATGGGAAATCCCGCCTCTCTTTCTGGCCCTTGTTTAGTTGTACATCTGTAATGATGACATTACTGACAATGACAACGCTAATGAGAACTAGATTATTCTGAAGATATTTCTGCACTTTCTATTTGAGGGGTTATGTTTACTCTTGCTGGTATATAAAAGGATCTATGTTAAAGTGGTGGATTTATTTCACATGACAGTTGGAGCTGAAATTAGGCTTAGGAGGCACCTCATATGAAGATTTCATACGCAGCATGCATTTGCCTATGCAATTGAGGTATCTACTTTTAAATTAGTTTTAAGAATAGGTTAATGTCGCACGCTGCTTTTCTTAAAATCTGTCAGATAATGCTTGCTGTTTTACTTTTTAGCACGAACAGGCCTCATGATTGTCGTATTCTGCTTGTTTATATTCTGATCCAGTCAGGTGGATCCTATAGTGGCATCCTTTTCTGGTGGGGCAGTGGGTGTAATTTCGGCATTGATGTTACTAGAAGCCAACAATGTTGAGCAGCAAGAGAAGAAAAGGTGCATGTATTGCCACGGAACAGGTGTGTTTCTAGTATAGCATTTTCCCTGCATGCCAAAGACTTCCTATTTGTCACTCTAGACTGCCTTTGAGATGCTCTTTCTCTTAATTGACAAGCACTCATCAGTTTGGATGACCCTGTGAACAGGATACTTGGCATGTGCCCGCTGTTCTGCAAGTGGTGTGTGCTTAAAGATTGAACCCATTTCAGTTGTAAGTGGTTCTGATCGCCCATTGCAAGCACCCACTACTCAAAGGTGTCTAAATTGCTCAGGAGCCGGAAAGGTATGAAATTCAATCAAATCCAGTTTCATGGAGTATGAACTATAATTGAAGCAACTGTTCAGAACGACTCTTTCTTTCAAGTCAAATCTACCTATTAGAAAAGATTTAATTAGGCATTGATCATATGCGGCAGGACTATATTTTAGCACAGTGGTGACAAAAAGGGGACGGGAAAGAGAAAAATACGAATATGGGTACTAAAAATCATCCAATTTAAATTGATCTAATACTACATAAGAAAGGAGATTGATACTCCAGGACTCTCAGTGATATTGACAACTGAGTGATGGATAATCGTCTTGATATAGCCATAGACATTATAAATCTAATGTGAATTGAAATGTAGGTTAGTGAAAGAGCATTGTGCAAATTAACGACTCTGCAAACAGTTACATATATGTTGACAGCTTATGGTTGCAGATTATCCTTCTGTTTCCCTGCCGCTAGCTCACCGTCTTTCGAGAGTTGTGCTGACATAGTATTTTTCATGTTTTCTAGGTTATGTGCCCAACATGCCTGTGTACGGGGATGGTGATGGCTAGTGAACATGACCCACGAATAAATCCATTCGACTAGAAGGGTACTGAGGCTAGCATTTTCAGCATTGTAACTATCTTCTTTTATCTGAATTGGTATTTGATGGTGTGCTGGAAATCTAGAGGTGTGAGAGGAGGAGGCTGAAAAGCCCTCCACTAATATGAGTATTTATATTTTGTGGGTTGTAGAATACGAATGAATAAAGTAATCAGATAAATTGACAAAGGCACGAATATTAGTGGGTCATTGAAAAGCTTGGCTAATCCACTCTAATAGAGTCTTTCACTCCCTCCAGCAACTTATGTTACTAGGTGAGGAAGTTGATGGTTACAATTTTTCGGTGTGTAAAATGTCTATTTTATATTTATATTTATATGCTTACTCGTTATTTAAATATTTTTTTAAAAAGTATTGACCCATACATAAAATAACAATGCTATACACACTATCTCTCTACACCACGTTTGTGTATCATCTCAACATAAGTCGTTATATTAGTAGTTTTCATAGAATTTATTAATTATCCAATGGTTCTGATTGTACCTCATTAGGTGGTGTACTAAGATAGTGTCTACAATATTATTTTGATTGTACCACTTCAGGTGGTGCAAGAAAGGTGGTGCTCTAAGATGGTGTCTACAATATTATTTTACATAAAAATACATATTAAATTAGAATAATATTTGTAAACTATAATTGTTATTTTCAACACCTTCTAATATATATTTATATATAGATTTAAAAATTAACTAATTTTTTATATTTTATTTTTATTAACTTTTATAAGTGACTGCTAGTCGTTATGCATATAATATGATACTCTTAAGGTGTTTCTATTTTTAAATATTTTAAATTTTGTAGATTTTACGCTCCCACTCTCGCTCTATGTGATCCAGATAGAATAACTAGCACTAAAGAGCTCGTAAGAAGCATGTGTGATTAGTTTTTGACGCATTCATGCTACATTCATTAGCTATACATACTCTAAAATTAATTTGGTAGTTTATTTTGGAAGTTTAAACGACTAAATTAAATTTTAATAAATAGTATAATTGTGTATTAATTATGATTTTTTAAGAAAAATTAGATTTTTAATTTTAATTTTATTTTAATAAATGACATAATAGAAGATGAATTTTACAACTAAAATTCATACTCTATTATAAATTATTCAGAGCCCTTGTTTATTTTTTAGATTATTCCAATAGATAGTATAATTGAACACTAATTACGATTTCTTAAGAAAAATTGGCTTTTTATTTTTTATTTTATTTTAATAAATGATACAATAGAACATAAATTTTGATTTTGATTTTAAAATTTAAAATATTTGATATTTTATCATTGATTGGAGTATTTTTAGTCTAAATATAATATTTTAAACTTGAGCGATTTAAATATTATACGCCTACAAATTTCAGTAAATTTAGGTGTAATTTACTAACAGATATACTAATAGATATATCAACGAATATTTGATAGCAGGGGTTTAAGTGTTATACGCAAACAAATCTCAAGAGATCTATGTATAATATTTCAAATGTCAAGGGATCTGAGTGATTAAGTGACAAACATCAATGGATTTGAGTGTAATTCTCCTTAATATTTTTTAAAAATAAATTGAGGGTGGGACTATGCCCACGCTCAGCCCCCTAAACACAACTTATTAATACAATGCAGAGTTGATAGAAAGGAATTAGGTACGAGATTAGTCTCGATTGGAGTGGGTTTTTAATCTTTTGACCATTAGATTAGTTTAATAAATAATTTGATGAAAATATAATATGAACTCAATTATACATTACCTACAAAAAAAAACAATGAATGAGTCACGAATTAGTTAGAATATGGTGCTATGAAACACAGTTTATTGAAATTCAAAATAATCCCATCATTGTGAACCTCTCTTTGTGATCGGGACGAGGTAGAAGCCTCTCAATCTGACTCAGATCGAATCGGAGTTTTCTTAAGTAGCCATGGACCTATAATTATTCTATAGTCACCACAGCTTTCACTTTTTATGTAATATTAATAATACGACAACTATAGCAATAAGAGGACAGTTTGGCCGAGTGGTCTAAGGCGCCAGATTTAGGCTCTGGTCCGAAAGGGCGTGGGTTCAAATCCCACAGCTGTCATTTTGTTAACTTTTTCACTTATCTTATTTTTATAAACGACATCGTTTCAATGTCCCTCCCTTCCATTAATCCACAGTCCCACATGACATGACCTTCGCTCTGGAACTAATCACAGATTCTGAGAAACCACAACAATGGCGAGAACCCTAAGGAGCAAACCCGCTCTGCAGCTCCTGAACCGGATTCTAAATTCACCGGTCCCTGTTCTCCACCGGTCCACGAGACCCATCGAAACCCTAGCTTTCGAAGAGGTCAAAACATCACCAGAAAAGCCCCACAGTTTCACAGCCTTTGTTCTTCACGGTCTCTTGGGTTCTGGTCGAAACTGGCGATCTTTCTCTCGCTTCCTCCTCTCCTCCCTCCCCTCCGGTACTCTTCTACACACATAAACACCTCTCTCTCTCTCTCTCTGTGCGTTTGTTAAGATCAAAGCGGCTTGGAAATTTTGAGCAAATGGTTTTCGAGAATTATATCAATGTTTGCACGATTTTTCATTGTTTTGAAATTTATTTGTGTTCTTGATATGCAGATTGGAGGATGGTTCTTGTGGATTTGAGGAACCACGGAAATTCGGCTGAATTGGAAGGTTTAAATCCACCTCATGACATGGTCAATGCCGCTAAAGATCTCGCTGATTTGGTGAAGTCTCAAGGTTGGGCTTGCCCGGATGTGGTAATTGGGCATTCCATGGGTGGCAAGGTTGCCTTGCAATTCGCAGATAGTTGTGCTCGCGGCGAGTTTGGTCAATTAATTCAATTACCCAAACAGGTATTCCTATGCCATAGCTTCATGATTGACTCGCATTTGGGATTTTTCTGTTTTTCATTTTATGTTTAGCTGCTGCAAGATTGCTTAACTGGAAAAACACAAGTGTTCTTTGAACCTATCACTGTATCCTATATCTTTCCACCAATTGTGTATGCAAACTGAAACTTCCCTGAAAAAGTTTTTGAGAAAGTCCTCTTCTTGGTCTGCATTAGATGACTAATTTTCACTTGCTGGGTTGATTTGATGATGACATGAAGTATAGTTCACTCATCAGATGAAAACCTGTTGCAGAACAGCTGTGGATACTGGATTCTGTCCCTGGAAAAGTGGATCGTGAAAACAGTGATGGAGAAGTAGAGAAAGTTTTGGAGACCTTGAAGGGCCTACCTCCAGCAGTCCCATCCCGAAAGTAAAAACTTTTTGTTCTTGGAGACCTGTTTTAAAGTGTGTGCATGGTTGCTATGTGGTGATTTAATTATAGGTGGAACATCACGAGTAGATCAGGTGTTAGGTGTGTTATGTTCTTGTATTTTGCCTATGTTTTACTCCTCCCAGACACGGCGTATGCTTTTCCTTTGTGCTTGATAATTGTTGATGTTCATTTAGACTTCAAATGGAAATTGATCTACAAATCCGTGAAAATCCACTAAGAGAATAGCACATCATGGAAAATGGAAGCCATTAGCATAAGTTTAAGATCTAATTTGTGGTTCTTCATGACATTCTGTATTCTCCGCAGTCTCCATACTACTAGTTCTATGAAGTTCTAGTGCCCATTCTAAATGATGGAATTGCAGACTATGGTGAAATTTATTAAATTACATGGTAGAAACAGAATTGTAAAAACAAGTTTTGCATTTTTGGCCATCCAATACTTGAGATAGATATCACTAATCAGGTCTAGCCTAGAGGGAGAAATGTTCATGCTACATAAATATCTCTTACAGATCTTAAGACACCATTATCTATGTTGTCGTCTTTATTTTCATTTTATATTTTTGATGGAGCTTTACAAATTATAATTGACTTAACAATATATACTTTGCTGGCAGAATGAATGCTAATTGTGACATTTCAGGAAGTTTAGAACTCAAAACAGCAGATGTGGGTCCTTTTTATTTTCTTTTACATATTTGACTTCAGGTTTACCTTTGGCACTTTAGTGGAGTTAAGTTATGAAGGTTTCACAAAGATAATTATCCCTTCCTCCTACAGTCACAAACACATAGTCTGATTCTTTTTGGGGTCTTTATTTTGATTTTATTTCTTTGATCGATGTCTAGAAGTATAGAACTCAAAGCATCAAAAAGTGTAATATTTTGGATTTCGGGTTATACTTCAGTAACTGGAGTTAAGTTTTGGAGATCTCATGAAGATAGTTGTCCGTTTGTTTCTCTCCTACAGTTAGAACTATGTTTAGCCTGTTGTGGTATAACTGAACCCTTTTCAGCAGGCTTCTGGATGTTGACCTGGACAGTTTTAAGAAATGCTGGGCGCCTAATGAAGCACTAGAATGGGTGGCCCGCATCATACCTGCGGGATTTCACATTGTTAGGGGTTTTATACTAGTAATCACATGCTAAAGCCTAAAGGGTCTTCATGTCATTATTCGAGGGTTGTTTCTATTATAACAGACTTTGTCAGGCATCTGTCAGCGCCTCAGCAATAAAACATGAGGATTCATTTCGTACATTAGTGGGCACCAAAGACATCAGACGCTGCTTATTTCTGGGTTAGTTGACAGTACATATCATGTCTTTTCACCTCTCTGATGCATGAAAATATAAGAAGTAGAAATGAAAGCATCTTGTGCTGCACTATTGGAATATTTGGTCATATATGCATAAGACCAATAGACATGACATATACACATAGGGAGAGAGATAAATCATAAGTGTTTGTCATTAGGGAAAAAATAGCTAAATTTTCACTTTTGCTTCAAAGGTTAGGGATTAGTTGGGTATGTACCTTCACATTCAATCCTACAACCTTACTGTTGTTAACGTGACATTTCACTGCGGTCCTCTATATATACATTTATGTGATATACAATTATTTGTTGAGAGGAAAATTAGTTTATTTCTATACTGACATGAGTTTGCCATCATGGCTTCAGGTGGCTGGTGGATCACATGACTAAACTTGGGTTTTCAAAGTCATTGTCACATTGGATAGGTAGCAACCTCAAGAAATCAGGTGAACATGAGACATGGGCTTTTAATCTCGAAGGTGCTATCCAGATGTTCAATTCCTACAGGTAAACTTGTATTTCCGCCGCTTGAATATCACGTCAAAATCATTTGCAATTTTTTAGGTGTCTACTTTTTATTTCTCCATAATGCATATTTCTGAGAGTGAGTTCTTATGAAAGTGTATATGATATATCTTAGGGAGATGGATTATTGGCCTCTGCTGGAGCACACGCCTAAAGGAATGGAGATAGCGATTGTTCGTGCCGAAAACAGTGACAGGTGGGAGCCAGATGTAATTCAGCGGCTTGAAAGCATTCCCACTAGAAGAGATGATGAATCTGAGGGAAAGGTTTCAGTTCATGTTCTTCCCAACTCCGGCCATTGGGTGCATGTCGACAATCCAAAGGGACTTCTGGAGATTGTGACTCCCAAAATTGCCTCCCTGGTTTAGCAAAATTCTGGTGCATCTACATGACAAATTATAAACCTTAACTCAGCTTTATAATTTCAATCAAATTCTAAGTAATTTATTTACTGAATTGTCACTGTTTTTGCTGCCACCCTTCGAATTTTTGTTTTCCCAAACATACCCAACCCACACCTGCTTGTCCAAGAACAGAACTGTAATATTCAATGACTCTTAATTTTCAAATGAAAATTGAAGCTGTAGCAGTTTGGATAATTATACCAAGTTCCCACAACAAAGCACCCAGTTGGAGTGCTTCGGTAGAGAGATTTTAGTTTTGATGGTTACCTCTTTTATAGATAGCAGAAGTTTTGGATGGTGGAGCAACGTTATTGGGATCTAATTTGATAATTTAATTATTAGGACTATTGGATTTACCGGAGATTCTAGTATTTAATTAAATTTATTATCAATTCAATATCCATGGACCATAGCCTGAGTCATAGTTGAATTGGAATCCAAATTCAAATGGGTTCCTGGTCTTGGTCGGAGACCATTGATGTTCGCACTGGTGGTCCAACAAAGAGGCGAAGTAGTTTTATTATTCTTTCTATTATTGCTTGCGTCCTCTCCGTGTCCACTAGAGCTCCTGTCCAGAGCGAAGAGAGGGCCAAAAAGCGCGTCTTAACCATTCCAAACCCCCTTGGATTAAAACTCTATCGAAACAAGACATAAGCCAATGGCTTGAACTATTTTACTGAATCCAACTCTGTTATCCAAACCAAAGCCATGATTCAAACATCTCAATGCATTTGTTTGGATGGATTTTTGGAGAGGGTTTGGATTGATTTCTCTAGATTTTTTTAAATTTAAATTCCTTCTTATAAAGATGGGCTTCAATGTTGAATTCAATCTATACCCATATTTGATATGTAACACATATACATATGGGACCTACAAATATATCACTATTTTTATAATATTTTTATCTTATAAATGACTATATTATTTATTGGTTAATCTAATTCATACTTGTGTTTGTTTAAGTCATGGGTACAAATGACATTTGTCCCACTAATCCAGATATGACTTGACCGAAATGCACCCCCCATGAGTTTTATGAAATCCACATTCAAGGGTTTAAGGTATGGGGCCAACTATGGGCTAGGACTGCTGTTCATGACTTGAAAAAGTCATTAAAACCAGAGTTTTGGGCTCTATTGAATTATTTTTTCCAAACCTATTTTACCAAATTCCCCCGTACCCACTTACCAAACAGCTCTTAGATCTCTATGTTAAGTACAAGCATCATTATAGTTTGACGGAGTTTACTAGGATTTTGTGGATAGTCAAAGGACAGTGGAGTGAAAATGGAGGATAGGAGGGTGCTAGATGTTTGGAGAATGTATAACATATATCAGTATATATTTATTCTGATTTGTGGATTTAAACAATTTTGAAACAACAAATAGTAAGTAATAATCCAACCCGAATGTAGAACAAGGACAAATCACGATTGGTGTTTGACACTATCTTATTAAGTGAATTGGATTTGTGTTTGTACCATCTGAGATGAATACTCTAATAACAAGATTATGAATGTAATAAATATTATAATTGTAAAATTTTGAAAGTGATGAATACAAATGCAATTTGGGTGTTTATTAATGAATTTGATTCGACACAAAATTTGAATTCTAATCGACAAAAATTTAAAATCGGATAAGAATTTAAGGTTTGTTTAACAAACAATTTTTTCTTAAAAAGATAAGTTTATATTCAACCTACACTCAATTGAGTCAAGAGGCGCTTATGTGGTTGGAAGTAAACCTCATTATATTCTCCTCCATCCTTACAAGTATAAGGCTCCTTAGGGGCCATCCTCTCGAACAATTTAAGAGTATATAAAGTCATCTTGATTTTTTTTTGCCAATCAATATGAGATTTGAAGTTTCTTTTCATGGGTTTTTATTTTTTTTCCACTTTTCACATAAGTTATTTTAAAGTTAATTTTTTCATTCATCTTTTACTCGATTTTGATAAGTCTCATATGTCGTTAATCATTTCGTGGAGAAGAATGCATTTCAACTTAAAATAACAAAAACAAGATGAAAAAGTCTCATTTTAACTTAGACTCAAAATTTGACAAAAATCATATTTTGATTTAATGCTAGTGGTGATGACGAGAGAAGACAATAGAGAAGACATTCTTATGAAGAGACAAACAAGCCCCCTAGATTAGAAAGATTACGTGCACTAACATTTTTGGCATGTGGTTCCTTGAATATTTGGGCAACCTTTTAATAGAGATCATTGAAAAATAAAATTGAATGATTATGAATTAATATATGCCATACTAAGAATGATCGAGAATCATTCACTTCTAATTTTCTCAATTATTAGAATTTTAATTATTTTATTACACAATAATGTCAATTCCAATCATATTTCATCGTTTGCGTAAACCAACCATATACCCTGCTCATTTAACGTTAAAAATATAGTTTTACTATCTTAAATTTTTGTAATTTTGGGAGAGAGAAAAAAAGAATTGAATTAGCCGTGAGAGTAGATAGGAATGCAGAAATTCTATGCATCTCAAGCTTTTGTAGTTTGTTATTTATTTTTTTTTGTTATATATGTTCAAATTTGTGTCGACTACTCACTCGTTTTCGAATATTGGTTATAATAGCCCGAACAAGTTTATAACATGTCTGATCCGTAAAAAATACGAGAAGTCTGAATCTTCTAAATTATCAGAGGTTATGCTTAACCACCGAATCATCTCTAAGTGTTTTTTTTTCTTCATATAATTAGAAGATGAAATACCAAAAAATAGACTAAACTTTGTATTTTGTGAACCAATAATATATTTTTAACCCAAAGGAAAAAATTCATTGGACGATGGTGATACCTTTGAGGTTTGTTACTCAATAATTTAGATTCTTTGATATTTGAAATATTATATATAAATTTCCTGAAATTTATCCGTTTAGTAGCACTTAGACCCTATCATTGAAAGTATATCTGTTAATAAATTACAGTTAAATCTCTTAAAATTTATGTGTATAATATTTAAATCTCTCAAGTTTAAAATATTATACTTAAATTAAAAATGCTCTAATTAAAGATAGAATATCAAATATTTTAAATTTTACAACCACAATTCATGTTCTATGCTATTTATTAAAAAGGCAAAATCTAGTTTATCCCCATTGTTGTTTGAGTGTTTTGCACATGACCCCCTTTGATTTAGAAATCAGCACATTACTCCCTTATGCTTTTGGACAGATATGCACAATTAACACCGTAAACAAAAGAGACAAAATGATTTTAGTACTCTTAACTATTCATCATCTTCTTCCTCCCTCTCAATTGTTGCCTAATTTTCTGAAAAATCAACCAACCACCCAACTTTACAAGTTTTTCTCTCTCTCCAAAAATTACTAAACTTCCTCAAACCAATATCAATATCCTTCACTCTCAACCTAATTTTAAACCCCACATACTTGTTTCCTTAAATTGCCCTCGTGACCCACAAATTTAAGCTCAAATGTGATCACAAACTCATTTTAATATGTTATGTACATACCAATTTTTTTTTAACATTTGAGCCAACTTTGACCCTTAATTTCTCCTCTTTTCTTAACCTTTTTGGGTGATTCAAATGCCTAAATTTAACCTATTTGTACCCTATTTCCAACCATGTATTTAGTTTGTCTAGATCGTGCACAAGGTAAGTGGAAATCGAGCACCAAAGTGACGGGTTCATCATTTTTAAAAATTGTCACGATTTTTAATTTAATTTTTCTCCCACCAAACATCATTTTTTCTCGATTTTAACTTCAAAAATGGATTCCTTAACCCTAAAAATGGTGGATTAAGCCCCCCTTCACCTCCAAAACTTAAAATTTTGAATACCCAAAAATTCAAGTTTCAGGCTTAAACAAAGGTTTTGATTTTCTCTCACTATACACCACGGCCACTAAAGAAATTTTAAAAAATTGTTACTAAATATGAAAACAAGCTTATCCTATCACAGAATTGTGAATGATGCCTTGTAGCAAAAGTTCTCTTTGTTCAAATTTTACAATACTACCCATTTGCAAAGCACAAACTCAAACCCCCAATCACCCTAATCAAAGTAAGGATTTGGGAGGATCAGAGGTGAAAGCAACTCATCGAACTTGTGGATCAGAGGTAAATCCTTCACCTTTTCCTCTGTTTCCTCTTGGTCTTTGTTGTTCTCTGTTATTACTGGTGTCTTTTGATTGATTGGACTTGGCTTTGAAGTGATGACAATGGTAGTGGTGCACAATAGGGTGGTAATTTAGTGGAAAGCGTAGAGGTTGTGGCAATTTGTGTTGTTGCATAGTAGGAATGATGGAGGTAGTAGTACTGTTGGGCGACACAATTAGAAAAAAATATAAAAGTCAATTGCTCAAGAAGATAAAGATTGAAAAAAGGTATTATTGTACTTTTATTGTATCTATTTTTGGAAAGAAACACGTTTTGTTATGTCAAATCTCCCCTTAGGTACATGTATGTCATGGATAATCTAATCTAACGGAAAAACTAACGATATCATTTTAGTCTAAAAGCACAATGGGGTAATGTGCTGATTTCCAAATCATAGGAGAATCATGTGCAAAACACTCCAACCACAAAGGAATAAACTGAATTTTACCCTTATTAAAATAAAATAAAATTTTAAAATTTATTTTTTTAAAATTCATAATTAGTATATAATTATATTATTTATTGAATTAAATCTAAAAAACTATAAAAAAGGATCAAACTGCAATGAACACAATATTTTATATCTTTAATTAGGATAATTTGGTCGTTTAATATATTCTATTAGTTCTGTAATTAACAAGAGGTTTAAGTGTAATATTTTAAATTTGAGAGGTCTAAGTATTATACACCAACAAACTTTAAGTGTTTGAATATAATTTATTAATAAATATACTAACGAACATTGACAGGTGTGTTACACGTATACAAACTTTAAAGATTTTGTGTGTAATATTTCAAATATTAGGGGTCTACATGATTAAGTGACAAATTTTAAGGAGTCTGAGTGTAATTCTCCATTTAAGAAAAGTTTGAGGACTTTTGTGGTATTTTATCCATTCCCAGGACCAAAACCCTAGCTATATAAATTAAGGAATCAGCGTTTCTTACCAGCGACCACTAGGGTTTTCCAAGCTTGAGAAGCAGGAGCCTTATTCCCTCGTCGGAGCGTTATTCACTCGTCGGAGCCATGGTAACTCTCTCTCTCTCCATGTACATATGTAGATGCGTGTTCGTTTGCTTTTCACATTCCCTGATCTGAACATAGGCGTGTGAGTTGCTTGAAGTGGTTTAACAAAGCTGATGTTTCCTTTTGGTGAAAATTCTGTTTTGTTTTTGATGGAAAATATTTCTTGGAAAATTCGTAATGTAAATTTTTTTCCCGATCTGAAGAGTGGTATGGACAAATTTGGTGAAGAAGTGAACAATCCTGCTGTACACTGGAATGCTTTCTTTCTATTTAGCTCGATGATTTGTCTAATTTTTAGTTAATTGGAATTATTATCATATTTCTTTTTATACCTGTGTCACGGTTTTGTTCATGGATTTAGTAAATGGATACAAAAAGGAGGGGAAAAAGAAAAGGAAAATGTTTTTCACGATTTCTATCCTTCACTGCTAACTAAAAAGTATATTTCTTTTCTACCTTGTTTTCCATGGTGACCAAAGAATGAAAATGAAAACAATAATGATATGAACACCACCTTTCAGGTGGTGCAGAAAGGTGGCAAGTGTAGCATTGTTGGGATGAAAAACTTTGCGTTAAAAATGATGATTTTGTGTTTCCCCTGGAGAAGTATGTCTGAAATATCTCCCTTGAAAACAGCAAAACCATATTTTTGTTTAAAGTCAAACGTAAATACCTTGCGTTATTTTTTTCTAGGTTTTGGTGTAAAAGGTGAGTGATATACCTTTGTGGTGGCAGTAATAATGAATTGATGTACCTGAGCATGATTTGGCCATAGTGTATCGGAATTATTTTTAGGGTTTGAACTATTACTGATTTAGATTTTTGTTTTTTGTATTTAATAGTCGAAGAGGAAGACAAGGGAGCCCAAGGAAGAAAATGTGACCCTTGGGCCAGCCAGGCGGGATGGGGAGCACGTGTTTGGAGTGGCACACATTTTTGCATCATTTAATGACACATTTATTGTAAGTAGAAGCCTTTTTGTTAGTGTTTGTTATGGTCCAACCATTTGTGTGATGAATCTCTATTGCAGCATGTGACTGATTTGTCTGGAAGAGAAACCTTGGTTCGAATTACTGGTATGACTCACTGCCTATTGCTTTTATTAAAGGTTTATGGTTGGTTTATTTTTTGTTGTTGAAAAGTATGTTTTGATATCCAAGTCTATAATGTAGAATATGAGTATCTGGATCTCATTTTTGAAGTCTATTTAGATGAATATAATCATGTGATATAATTGTCTTTTGTGTTTAACTCCACAGCTATTTGGGCATATACCCTACGATGTTAGACGTAGGCCCCAAAATGGACTTGCCCATAAAACATGATTTATGCTTCCTAAAACATGTAATGAGATTTTATGAAAGGACTTGATTGTAAACTTTGTCATAATGTCATTATTTCCTTAATGAATTCGATTGGCTATATGTTTTAAAGTTAAATAGAAAATTGTGGCATGGATCATACCCTTGATGCTTGTCAGTGATTATATTTGTGAATCGATGATATTTCCTATGCATATCGCTGATGGAAATTCTTTATAACAGTCGGTGACCGTCAACTTTGGCTAACCTCCAAGGGGGGATGCACGTTCAAGCTTTGTAAGGGACATGTGTGTGCATGTTATAAAAAGAACTAGAAAAAGGAACAAGAAAAATGGCCTTTTTTTTTTCCATATTCAGCTTGTGAAAACTACACATTTTCTTTTGAGTATTGGAACAGTGCCATATGCAATGATGGTGCATCTGTCTCACACTATTGTTTCTAAGTTGTTATTTCGATATAATGAGGTTGTTGCAAGGGTGGGGATGATGAAATTCAGTTTAACAATGGGGTTTGATTGATTGTGTGCCAGATTCTAGATCAGTTAAAATTCTCAGTTTACTTTTTTGTTGATTGAATGACCTTGGTAGTGATAGTCACCCTGAAAACAAAGAGTTTTGTTCTTTTCAACAAAATATAGGTCAAGCAAATTAATGTAGTGGCATACAACCATTCCCTATGGTATAGAAGTGTTTGAATATATTATACATTTCTGAAGTTTATGGTAAATCATTGGAGTTGCCTATGGATATTTTCATTCATTTTGGAGCATGTGTTTGCCCTCTACATTTGAAATTGTGCTACTTTTTGTAATGTCATACTAACGAGTTTGAGGGCGGCATTTTGGGTAGATGGCCTGTTGTTTGTGGTTATTTGAAGATTCATAAGTCTTTGCCGTTTGTCTTTGTAGGACTTTTATGTTTGTTGGCATTTGGTCTGGACTACTTGTCTACCTTTGCTCCTTTTTTTGTACTAGATCTTTTCTATTATTTATAAAATCATTTGTTTCCTAAAAAAAAGTATCCTCCTTTCTTAACTTGGACAATCAAATAATAGTTGGAGCAGGGAGAGGGGTGACCTATTACTTTGGGAAACCAGTTGGTTCTAGAAATGTCTAGACCTATTTAAGCTGGTGGTCTATCCACTCAAACGTTCCACTGATTCAATCTGTACATGGTTTAACAATCTAAATAGTCCTGATATTTTTTTTTTTTAATTTTTGCACTTTTCATATGGATATAGAGGAAGAGAAGGTAAGGTGCTATGTGGTCTAGTGAATTTTTGCTGTGTGATTTTGATTATTTACTCTCATTCTGCCCTTAAAGTTTGTGCCCTTTCAATTATAGGTGGTATGAAGGTAAAGGCTGACAGGGACGAATCTTCACCATATGCAGCCATGCTTGCAGCACAAGATGTTGCACAGCGATGCAAGGTCTTACACTTTCATTTTATGATATTGTGTTTGGTCTGTGCAAGTCGGTTTGAAATTCAGATATGTATTACAACTTAATATTTTATCGCTGGTGATTTGCAGGAACTTGGCATTGATGCTCTTCATATTAAGCTTCGGGCTACAGGAGGGAATAAGACTAAGACACCTGGCCCAGGTGCCCAGTCTGCACTCAGAGCTCTTGCTCGTTCAGGCATGAAAATTGGTCGCATAGGTATATTTTCTACTGGGAGTTTTGTCATGTTGTTTACTCTGTTTAGTTTTTGATTATAAATTCAAAGACGACTACTTGCTTTCAACTTATTATCAACTCTTAATAAATACCTTTGTCCATGTTATTAGCTTTGATTTGTTTCTTTGATAATACATAATGTTTAACATAAAGCAGTTCTTTTTCTTAACCTAAAATTAGTTACAAGTCCCTTGCTTGCATTTACGTGTCCAATAGATCTGCCCTTTTTCTTTGATTGAATGTTGCTACCCTATTGCTTTCCTACTAAAGGTGCAGACGTCATGAACATGTGTTGTTTCTTTTTTCAGAGGATGTGACTCCAATTCCCACCGACAGTACTCGTAGAAAAGGTGGCAGAAGGGGAAGAAGGCTGTGATTTGTGTCTTTGTTTTCAAGCATATTTGCAGCTTTGGCTGATATATTTAGTAATGATGCAAGTTTGGTTCTTGTCTCCTGAGTTGTTTGAACAGTTCATGTTGAACCGAATATGAATTTACTGAAATTTGATCATTTGGAGGACAGTGATTTTGCTGGACTTACAGCTAATTATTTTGACCTGCCTTCTGTATCTGCTCTGATGGGTTTTTTTGGCCAGTTTGTTAAAGATCCATTAGCATTATTGATTGTTATGCTATTTGTTTTTTGTTGATATTCTTTGAAGTCTTCAAGGTTGGACGCTTGAGACATTGGAAAAAGTGGGATAATTTGCTGATTGATTCTTTAAGGTTGTTAGATCTCAACATTCATAGTTTGCCAGATTGTCTTCTTGTTATGGTGGCATTTGGGCGGTCAGTTGGGCCGGTGGGGGATGGCTAGTATTGTGAATGCGTAGTTTTAATCTTCTAACCGAGGCAAGCTAAGGCCAAAGAAGAGGATTAAGTGAACAACTCCTGTTGTGTGTCTTCAAGTGAAACTGGATCATCAGATTTTGTCTAAGCTGTCTTTTATTTGCCTCAACTCCAATGAGTACTAGATTATATTTAATCTTGCCTTTACGTACTGCATTCTGCGTTGTTTCCATACTGCATTCTGTTTTTCAAATTTCTCGGATTTTTCTTGTGTGGTTAGCAAGCATGGTGTGATTGTTGCACACAAAGAATAAGATGCAGTCAGTTTGCTTAATCAATCAGTTAGTATTTTGGTGTGTGGTTAGCAGTGCAGAGTGCTGGACTCAATCAATGGAGCCTTTAGTCCTGACCGTTGTATAAATATAAAGATTGCGAGAGCTTGTGACCAAATGCAGCCCTTACCAAATCTTTATTCTTAAATTCAGTCAATTTTAAATTTATTTGTCCAACTCAATTTCTTCTTAGAAATGTCATTTGAAATGAGGCATTCTTAGGTGAAAATGTCATTTTAAATGTTTTCTTGTATTGGGTGTTTAAATTATCATTTTAAATGATGTGTATAAAAAGTATATTGAAACGACCATTAACACTGTAAAATTCCTTACATACTAAAAACGTCATTTAGAAAGATGTTTTCTTAAAATTTGTTTCAATTATTTATTTTAACTTAAAAATTAAATTATTAACCATATTAAAATTAAGTTATGAATTAAAAAAAAATTAATTAATTGCATTACTAAAAATGGATAAAATATTGTTTGTCTATATGTGAATTTTGAGACTGATTTTAAGGAATTCGTATATGTTAAAAATTATCTATTCCAAAATAATGTCTTAAGTTCATAGCACAATGAGAGTTGACCGACAAAAGGGTACAAAACATGCAAATATGAAAAATGATACTTATACATTAGACAAAACAACATTATTACATGAGACTGTAAAAAATATAGTCTATCAATATCATAGTTGAAGTTGAAAATAACATAGACAATTACCGAATATACATGAATTTGATGGAATAAAAGTGTCATATTCATTATCACTTAAATCGAAATAATCAAAAAGTTTAATATCGGAAACAAATTACGAATCCTCTAAAATTTGAATCTTAGAATATTTAGAATTGAAATGCTCAATTTTTGATCAAGTCAAAGTTACATTAATCATTTTTACGTTCAAGTCTTACTATGATGTCGTCATGGTTACTAGAGTTTTGTGGATTCTATATATCAACGGAACATGTCTTCGGTACCATTATTCCATGCCAACTACAATATACTTCAAGCTCACAAAGTTTGTTATATAATTGTCGTCATCTTGGTGTGAGTTCGATATGAACACTCGGAGATAGATAGTCGATCGCAAGATCAACAATTACGTGTTTAACATGATCGAATGAGTAATAAGGGTCGATAGGCTCATTGCGGAACTCACGTTTTTTTGTCCATATTAAGTAACACTGGTGGAATCTGTGTAAGATCCAATTGAATGAACTATATTAGACAATGCTTGTCGACCAGTCGAGCGTTGACGTTCACTAGGTGTAGATGAACTATATTCATTGCGTGATGAAGAATCTTGGATGGTTTGACCGGATTGCCCATTTATGTGCGCCTAAACTTTTTTTGGGTTATAATGTACACAATTAAGAATGATGGTTTATATAGACAATGAATGCAATTATATACCAATTTGACAAGATAGTTACTGCGTACGACTAACATAACTTGACACTCTGATAAGTAATGATATAACTTCATAGTGATAAAGTAATGACATAACAATTCAATAACAAATGACTGATATAACTTGACACTACACTGATAAAGTTATATTCGTGATTTACAATGATAACCATTATTCAATATATGACATTGGGAAAAACAATTGCACACTTAGTACATTTGTTAATCTTCATCATATATATAATAATTTGACAGATATTGTGCATTAGATAATATATTGTTTTGCTCAACTGGTATCAACTCTTGTCCAAATACAGATCTCACCATGTCTTTTGCTATTTGGAGTATGTAACAATGACACTGACGCACCAACATTTTATTATTCTTTCTTCAAACACATTTTACTGTTGATTTGTAGTCCTCGCTTTAGTGATCGTTTATGAGGCACTGGTATGCCAAGTTCTTTTAGTTGTGTGAATAATTCGTTTGATTTATTAGTACGAAAAAGTCCACTCTCATCGTAAATCTTGCATAATATTCTTTTGTATCGAAAAATCTCTTGACCTTGTAATCATCGTTTCGCTCTTGTAACAACCAAATCCATACACATTTGCGATTGTTAAATCTTGTAGCAAAATTTGATGTAGACATAATTTTTTAATTCTGGGCTCCAGCCCACCATAGCTCACTAATGGATCCGTCCTCGATCGTGCGACTATTCTTTGCCACGTTCTCATTTCCTGACAGTATGTTGATTGATTAGGCATATGCTTTTATATATCAGACAAACACCAAAAAGTTTGCCCTGCATGGAAGAAGGGCTCATTAATTTCATTGTTTTTTTTTTCCTTATTTTTAAGTTAAGATGAGAAGCGACGATGTTCTTTTTCATGTGTTTCCCTATTACTTCTACATTGGATACGACCTTTTCATAAGCATCAACTATGAGTAAAGGACCCTTCAATTGCTAACAGCTAGCACCATATAAGCACCCTATTTTTGAGCATTGACTTTGGTATTTGAAGATAATTCTAGAAAATGTTAAATAAAGAAGTGTTTGTGTAGAAGAGTGTCTGTTCGTTCCATGGTGGAAAATTGAAGCAAAATCCAAAACAAAACAAAAATTAGTGACAACAAAATCGAATAGAGCCTCTTACTCTACTAATGTGGGCAGAAATTAGTTTTATTACAAAAGATGAGAGAGAGAGACAAATAAAGCAAAATAGAGACAACACAATACCTTCGATGGGTCGTCAAAATTATGGTCAGTTGTCGTCGGAGGATAGGGACAAAGATAGAGAGAGACACAGATTTGCAAAATCCTTCCCGCAGTTCAGATCTTTCATCAGAGGAGTGGTCTTCATCAGAGATAGACGTCTGTGCCAGAGTGGTCTTCGTCGAAGGTGTGGAGTGGAGAGGGTAAATGTAGAGATGGTATGTGGGTGATTGGGAATTTTGGGTTTAGAACACTAAGGGATTTTGTGATTTGGGAAAATTGGATTCTGATTTAGTTTGCTTAAATCATCATTTTGAATGACAATTTTAAAAACGTCATTCCTAATGACGTTTTATGCCTATAGTTTAACTGTTGTTTATGTCTCAACTCCGTTAGGAAACCGTTTATTTTCAAAATAAATAATAAAATTGACATTTAGACATCATTTTCAATTACGCTTTACAAATGACGCTTTCATCTAAGAAGGTGTCATTTTAAATAACGTTTTTAGAAAGAAATTGAATTTAAAAAATAAGTTTAACACTGACTAAGTTTGGAATAAAGATTTGGTAAAAACTGCCTTTGATCAAAAATTCAAGATTGCGAACGTACGCTAATTGATAACTAATTGCTAAATGTTTCAGAGCATTGCTTTGGGGAAACAAGTTGAAGGGCTTATGAAAATTTTCCAAAATTAGAGTACGTGTCCAAAATTTTCCTCCCCCCCCCCCCAACACAAAAAAAAAAAAAAAATGAAAATTTCATCCTAATGTGTTAACAGTCGTTAGGATGGTAACTGAATTTTGTTAATTAGTCTTGATTCTCAATAACTTTAATTGATCATATCGATTGATTGGGCACTAATTAATAGGGTTAATTTGCTTAATCAATAGGATAGTTAACTGTTGGCTTAATTGATGGGTTTAGTTACAGAAATTTTCTTTAAAAATTAACGATGCTAATTAAGGTGTTAGTTACTTTATTAACGAGTTAATTACTAATATTGATAAGATTATTAGTGAATTGATGAGGCTAATTTGTGTTAATTGCTTAGTTAACTATTTTTTATCATTTAAATTAAGTTGATGGCATAATGAAGCTAATTAGCTTAAATGGAAAATTAATTTTTTAATTTTATTTTGTTACAAAGGTGTGCAAATTGCAATGGTCATTTATTTCCATTGATTTGAACATGGGCGTGGAACTTACAATTCACATGTTCTCTGTCTAAAGCAAGGATTGGATAGAATAAGATGCATTGAATTCAAATCAACTCGGATAATTTTGCATTGGGTTGAATTAAATTGGGTTAAAAATCCAACCCAACCGAACACACCATATATACCTCCCAAGTCCCAACGGAAAAAACATCCGCCTCTGTCTCTGTTTTTGAAACGCTCTCTGTCTCTGTTTTTGAAACGCTCTCCCTCACAGGTGTTCGAAGGCTGTCGGATTTGATTCCGATTGGGGACGAAGAGTCTTCGCCTTCTTCGTAGAGACAGGCACGGTAGCAATTACCATTCCCCGATTAAACCCATGCCCACCGCCGCCGCCACCACCACCACCACCACAAAACCCATAACCACTGCGGCCACCTCTCGTCGACGGGGGCTCCGTTGGGCCCAGTGACATCGATGGCCTTAGTCTTTTCACCCTCATGAATAACCAGAAATTCTACCTCTTGGCCTTCATAGAAAGTTCGAAGGCCATCGAATTTGATCTCGAAGAGATCTTTTCCTTCTTCGTAGGGTCTCAGGTCGTTGAAGCGGACCACCTTGCCAATGATCTAGGGTTTTCCTACTCGAAAGAAACTGTTCTGCCGCCATTGCCAAATTATTTATAGAGATGTTCTGCTCGCTCGGCTTTCTTTATCTGTTGCTTTCTCTAATGGTCCTAACGTTTTTGAAAGGTGAGTGGATTAAATATTTTTGAAATCTTTTGTTATCTGT